TACATAAATAACCATTTTATTTCACCATAAAATAATTATTACTGGCCAGTTGTTTTCAGAGTTCAGTGAAGTTGACGGTCTTTAGTGAGTAAGTTGATTTTATGAGTAATACTAACCATCCAACTACCTCACATCAGTGTAAATTTGTCAGAAAACGTTTTCAAAGCGCGCTGTATTTTACACCATAACATTTTTAGTGCTAATGGGGAAGACACACCAAGTTATTCATTTGAAAGTACTAGATTTGTACGTGCATTACTCTTTAAACGTTAAAAGAATGTATAACAATATATGTACGCGTCTTAAATGACAACAAAGTAGAGCCATTTTAGCCCACAACGTCATATTTAGCAGCCAGATGTTTGCACAAACTTCTGAAGTTTGTTTTGACGATGTCCTGAACGTCAATGAGAGCTTCACGACTAGACCATCCAGCTGAGGGAATACAACACTATCAAAATCATCCTCCTGAGCTACAGATATTCTCCATCATCTTAGATTTGTTTATTTGATATAAAGCGCACAGTGATACAGTATTATTTAATTGATTACGTTTCGAGCATAAATTATTGCTCATAATCATATCAATGTAATCACACTTCTTTCGACATCTGATTTTATAGTCCTGTCACCTGATCTCTCTTTGTTTTTTTTGTTTTTTGATTGGTAGTAAAGTTTTCCATATCTCTGGTATAGGTGTTGCGTCATTCCTATTACATGTGTTGGGTGTGGATTCGATGAACAAAGATTCAGTAATTAATCTCTCTCTCCACCTAGCTATATTAGACTTAAGTACAGTGGTTTTGTCCCATCCTATTGTGTGGTTGTGTGTTAATGAATGTAATGCAATGGCTGAGTGTTTTTCTAGGTTATTGATCTTATTGGGGTCTGTCGTTCTATGTTTAGCTAAATTCCTATGTTCTGTTAATCTAACTGACCCCGACCGGCTAGTTTGACCTATGTATTTGACTTCACAGTCATTACATGGAATTTGGTAGATTATATTATTTTGCTTAATTGGTTCTATCGGATCTTTTAGCCGACAAAGCTTACCTCTAAGTGAGTTTGTTGGTTTAAATGCCACCCTAATTCCAACCTTGTTGAGAATCCTACGTATGGTTTCTGATGTTCCTTCCTTGTATGGTATCACAATAGAGGTGTTGATTTCCTTTCTACTTATGTTGTCACTATTATTTGTATTTGTATTAGTGTTATTATTTTGCTTCTTATGCGTCCGTGTGAATTTCTTAATAAAATGATGGGGATAATTATTAACGCTTCTTTTATGTGTTTCAATTCCTTATTTAAGTCCTTACAATGACTAGTGAGTTTCTCAGCTCTGTTATTTAGACATTTGACTAAACCCGCTTTAACTGACACTGGATGAGATGACTTGAAGTCTAGATATCTGTTAGAATGTGTTGGTTTTCTGTAGACGGTAGTATCTAAACCACCATCTATCCTTCGTTTTATTCTGCAATCCAACATAGGTAATTCTCCTTGTTCATTTTCTACTTCGTAGTGAATTGGATTGCGTTAACTACTGAGTTTATGTGTGTCAAGAAACTGTCGATATGTTCCGATTTCAACACTGTAAATGTGTCATCTACATATCGCCACCATATCTTAGGTGTCGGATTATATGTTCGTAAAGCCATATCTTCCCAACTATCCATAAATATATCTGCTACTATAGGGGATATTGGTGATCCCATTGCTACTCCTTCTGTTTGTCTATATATCTTTCCCTGAAACTTGAAGACTGTCGAGGTTAAGCATAACTGCACTCCTAACATGATTTCACCAACCGATGCCTTGGTTCTTTGAGTAAGTTGTGAGTCAGTATCTAGTTGATTTCTGACTGCCTCCAGTGCCATATTGATTGGTATTTTAGTATAAAGACTTGTTACGTCAAAACTAACCATTTTTTCATCCTCTTCTATGTGCAGGTCATTAAGTTTTTGTTTCAACTCGTAAGACTAGTAAATTCTTACGAGTTGAAACAAAAACTTAATGACCTGCACATAGAAGAGGATGAAAAAATGGTTAGTTTTGACGTAACAAGTCTTTATACTAAAATACCAATCAATATGGCACTGGAGGCAGTCAGAAATCAACTAGATACTGACTCACAACTTACTCAAAGAACCAAGGCATCGGTTGGTGAAATCATGTTAGGAGTGCAGTTATGCTTAACCTCGACAGTCTTCAAGTTTCAGGGAAAGATATATAGACAAACAGAAGGAGTAGCAATGGGATCACCAATATCCCCTATAGTAGCAGATATATTTATGGATAGTTGGGAAGATATGGCTTTACGAACATATAATCCGACACCTAAGATATGGTGGCGATATGTAGATGACACATTTACAGTGTTGAAATCGGAACATATCGACAGTTTCTTGACACACATAAACTCAGTAGTTAACGCAATCCAATTCACTACGAAGTAGAAAATGAACAAGGAGAATTACCTATGTTGGATTGCAGAATAAAACGAAGGATAGATGGTGGTTTAGATACTACCGTCTACAGAAAACCAACACATTCTAACAGGTATCTAGACTTCAAGTCATCTCATCCAGTGTCAGTTAAAGCGGGTTTAGTCAAATGTCTAAATAACAGAGCTGAGAAACTCACTAGTCATTGTAAGGACTTAAATAAGGAATTGAAACACATAAAAGAAGCGTTAATAATTATCCCCATCATTTTATTAAGAAATTCACACGGACGCATAAGAAGCAAAATAATAACACTAATACAAATACAAATAATAGTGACAACATAAGTAGAAAGGAAATCAACACCTCTATTGTGATACCATACAAGGAAGGAACATCAGAAACCATACGTAGGATTCTCAACAAGGTTGGAATTAGGGTGGCATTTAAACCAACAAACTCACTTAGAGGTAAGCTTTGTCGGCTAAAAGATCCGATAGAACCAATTAAGCAAAATAATATAATCTACCAAATTCCATGTAATGACTGTGAAGTCAAATACATAGGTCAAACTAGCCGGTCGGGGTCAGTTAGATTAACAGAACATAGGAATTTAGCTAAACATAGAACGACAGACCCCAATAAGATCAATAACCTAGAAAAACACTCAGCCATTGCATTACATTCATTAACACACAACCACACAATAGGATGGGACAAAACCACTGTACTTAAGTCTAATATAGCTAGGTGGAGAGAGAGATTAATTACTGAATCTTTGTTCATCGAATCCACACCCAACACATGTAATAGGAATGACGCAACACCTATACCAGAGATATGGAAAACTTTACTACCAATCAAAAAACAAAAAAACAAAGAGAGATCAGGTGACAGGACTATAAAATCAGATGTCGAAAGAAGTGTGATTACATTGATATGATTATGAGCAATAATTTATGCTCGAAACGTAATCAAGTAAATAATACTGTATCACTGTGCGCTTTATATCAAATAAACAAATCTAATATGGAACTACATTCTACTACAGTGCCCAAGTTTTTCACTTATATTAATTCGCCATCATCACCAAATTTACTCGGCCTACAACGGCGTGCAGTATTCTGATATTTTCTACAGTAACCCTTTATGTTAAATCCATGCTACTGCGTGGTTATGAAATTCCTTTTGGTAAGGTCGCCTTAAAGTGTATCTATTCGAAAACATTCGCCAAGTGCTTTTTACTAGCTTCTTCTTATATGCATTCACGTTTCATAAAATCATTCCCATATGCACTTGCTAGTCCTACTCTTCAGGTATTCTTTGTCGTTTAGTGAATGAAACACAAGGTATTGAGGGGACATTATTGTCTGTGTACAATTCGAGTAGTCCTGCAAATTCAGCATTGTCATTTGTTTTCGTCTACAATCCACAAGAACACTTGAATTTAGGATACCCAAATTCTAGTGATTTCCCCTCAATATTATGTAGCTACTCTAATACTGTCGATTGTAACTCGTGTGCGTAAATCTCTATCTCCTAACAACACTAAATCATCTTGTCCTGATGCCACAAACAACTTAAAAAAATGATATGAGTTTGGCTTAAGGTATATGAAGTGAGTCTGTGCTAATAAATCTCTTATCTATTTAATGATCGAGTGAATCATAGCAATAATACTCAATGAGATATGTATTGGTCACTCGGAAATATTCTAAATCTTGTAATAACAGTAACTACCTACCGGATGCAATATTGACCAACTAACACAGATAAACAGATTTATTCCAACCGAAAAGTACAAATTAGGTTATGACCAAGAAGTTTTCCCAATATGATAATTTCTATACTAGTATTTATATGGCTTCTTGAACACCAACACAAATGCCCATTTAAGCGTTATTCAAACATCAAACATATCACGTTACTCTATACCTAAACAATAGGTTATGGAAAACAGAATCAGATGTATTAGCAATTCATATACTGTAGGCACGCAATGGTAACACACACTGTTACCACGTTATTTCAAATCCTATCTGCGTAACAGCCGCCTCAGTGAAATGCATACTTCACACCCTAAGAAATACTAGGTAGAGTAAATGACAATCCTCTTCATCTGAAAGCTCATATTTTCAACGATGGGCGTCTGAGTGTAGTTCTGTATAACAGTAATGCATTCGGTTTGGACGAATTTCCAATAAGTACTTGATACACGTTTCTGTATTATATCTTTACCCTTCTCGTAAATCTGTCTGCAGAGGAGTAGTCTACTTTATGCTAAGTAGGATGTCCTATTTCTTTGCTCACATAAGATAACATGAGTCTACGTATTCATCGTCCTCTTTACCTTCGCTTCCTATCGATAGTAGACATAGTTTGCCTCTTGGTATGGAGATAAGCGTACATTATGTATACCACACGATGTTTCGAAATAAATTATAAGCAGATGACGATAATTTGATGGTTTTATACTAACTGTGAAAACATCTGTAAATATATACAGTCTCAAACTTTAAAGTTATATGAATGCTTAGGAATTCTTGCTTTTTTTATGGATGGTTTGGTTAGACAGAAAGGTATTTCAGTTCACTTACTTTGATTTGCATTCTACTTCCAGTCGCTCCTGCACTTATCAATTTTCAGTTTTGGAAATCCATCCCGCTTCCTTTAATCCGTCTGTCTATTTAATCGATGCTTTTTTTCTCTTCTGAAGAAAGACTATGCAGTGTTGTGTAGTCTTAAAGTAGTGCACCTCCAACAAGTAATAACAGATAGGATTATGAATGCGTATTCACAAACGTTCTCTTACCATCCAGTTAACAATGTTTCTGTTAGAGTCAGCTGGTGTAATTTTAATTTCTATTGCAGAAGATAACTAACCTTATTAAGTAGTTATATAAAACTGTTGTCAACAGTGTTGCCAAAAAGCCCTTTAAGCAGCGATCTACTCCACAACAATGTTCATGGTTCAGTAAACTACTCTTGCAACAACTTTCTAGTTTAGAGACAATTTATATGTATTTCTTTCCGAAAATATTGGATGTCCAACTAGAAGACATTTGTCTGAATTATTTCCGAGCATACAGATTCAAAATTGTGACGCATATGCTGCAACTGCATGTTAACTGTAGGAGTGTAAACCAACTGTTGATTGAAGTTGTGGGAACATTTTCCAATTGATTCAACTCTTGGTCTTACAGCTAGCCAATACTAATTGAGGTACTTATGACTGTGGAAAAGGGTGAGGTTGTGAGGATTTTAAAGAAAAATGGAGGCATAAAATTTGAGTCCAGAATTCATCTGCTTCTCGAAGTTCTGATTTTTTCACTGGAAAACGATAATGCCACTGTTATAAAAGACTAACTCGAATTTCAAGAAAAAATTCCCTAGTGGCTTTCTGAAACATTCACAAGACAAATCTAATTTGTATCAAGACATCCAGCGGGACACATTTCCCATCAACATCAAAGATTGATTTATCTGAATTGGTGATAAGCTAACTATGACACGAAGAGCTGTTTCATTGATCGAAGCACTCCACTCTCCTTGGATCACAGGGGTAAATTCTGTTCCAACTCCTGAGATTTAAGAAAGCAAGTAGTATCAACGCCTCTCAAACAATGGATCTGTCTCACTACTCAGTTGCATTTCCATGTTTTGACGACGCCATTTACATTATGTGCAAACTATCCTCGATAATGTATTAATTTTTAGATCAAAAAATGCTGCATAACTTATGCCTTGTTTCGCAGTTTACTTCTACTATAAAAGAACATAGCTGATAATAAAAATAAAACTGAAAACAACGGAAATATCTCCGATTAAGTAAATTCTTGCCAAATATTTCCAATTACCAATTTGCTTGTTGAAGGCGAGTGACTTGCTTTTATTCCCTTTGAAAATATATGTATAAGTATCCCTCCGAAGTAAATACATTGGAAGAAAAGAAAAGCCATATCATAGACTTGCTGAATACATTCCTAAGAGCCTATAACCGAGGGAAGTAACAATCATTCGGCATCTGATTGACATTGAACATCAAGTAGATGTTTTCAATTCCTTCAATATAATAAACAAACAAATGAGCTTAATTCTATTGAAGCCATAGCTGTTAAACTCATCAAATCTGATTTATGTTCCAAAAGAAGCTATAGTCAATCTCTGTTTACCTCGGTAAGCCTTCTTGACCGTTTTGATTGGATTACATCTTCCTCTGACTACCTTAGGTGTTTATTCGTTCACTCTTACTTACTTGCAACATCTTTTGTTCATATCGGGTTTTTTTTAACTAACAATATTTTGTCTATTTATCGCATGACCTACTTACGTAGTCTTAAGTCCCTCAATATTTTGACTGCTACTCTTGTCGTTATTTTATTCGAGAAACTTCCATTAGATCGTGTATATAATCATGACCATTCATTAACCCTCCTTGAATATTTCGTTATGATTGACCTTTAATCTATGACTGTTTCCGTCCTTATTAACTACTTACCCATATTCTGCTGTTTTCAATGGACTAAATCGTCAGCAAAATGACGTATTTTGATATTGTAGGTTGTGAGCAGTTGACAAGACAAAACCTAAATAAAATAGATCAGTTTTATCCTGTTCCCATCGTAGTTCTTGCTCTTTTCAAAATCCTTACGATATGTGAATTGCTGGGGGAAATCAGCTATCTTACTATTTTCAGCAACATGAATGCAGTAAACGTGGAAAATGTACCTTTTCACGCATTTTTAACAGTGCTCTGCTGCAACGCATTTTTCAAAATTAAAACAGTAAACCAGATAAAACAACTTTACGATGATCCCTGACAGTACACGAACGAAGGTGCTAGTAGGTACACACTGTTGTAAATCATACAGAGCGACTTTGTACTTAGATTGCATAAAAGGAATTATGCATTCAAATCACCGACTTGTACGTTGCTACCAACTGTCATCGTACGCACACTAAGTTTCGAAAGACATTCACTAGATAAAACCCTGCACTTACTTTAAGGACTTCTGAACAAGTGCTTAATAGGATGACTCGCTCCTTCTTAGTTCATACTACTTAGGCAATCTGTCGGCTTACAAGATGGTATTAGAATCGAAGCTCTAAACAAACAGAAGTAAAATGAACGAAATATACTACTGAACAACATGAGTAGTTGGAAACCACTTAGTCTGAAATGCAAATTTTGCCAGCTGCATGAGTCATCCAAACATCGTATGGCTGTTTCTTTGGTTTGGGCGAAGTGGCTTCCAACTGCTCAGTTTGTCCAGTAGTATATTTCGTAAGTTCATAAGACTTTTGTGTCAGAGATCACACCATGTGACGGGTGGTGGCTGGCTTCTGACAGAAATCCTATTGCTACCACAGTTGGACAGTAAAAAAACTACTCAGCTGTGAGAAATGTCAACGAAGACTGTGTAATTTACGAATCATTTGAAAACTGACTATCATATTTAGAAGTAGAATGAATATTTCGCATTCGTCTAGGTATTGTACCTGAGTTACACTAAGATTTCTTTTGATCATGTTTAAGTAGTCACTACATAAATTGCATGATGGTTACAACATACCTTTCTCTTTTTAAAAGTAATAAAACTAAACCCGATACAAATTAATACACTAGGCTATGAGCCATGCTTGTTGTATGAGGGTTTGCCTAGACCAAAGTAGGTGGGGCTAGGGTCGAACCTGGAAGTAGAATTTCTAAATCAGTGAGCCACATTTCCACTTAATTATCATTTACTATAATTATGCTGACACCTACCTCTCTCAAATTATTCCCAATTCACTTTCTTGTCAAACAGAAAATTTGAGACAAAGCATGATTTAACAACATATGGTGAGTTGATCCAAGCTATTAAACCTTGAAATAGTACAGAGAAAGAATAATGAGGGGAAAAGAAATGTAACAGGTGAACCATAAGTAAATACAGAAGTGTAAGTGGCTACAGATCCCTAACATGTTGAAAAGTGAACATATTTCCATGCACATTACAAACCAATATTCAGTGATTACATGGGTAGATGCTGTTTCCTCATCATCTTACTAACCTAAAATCTATTTCATCGTGATGAAACCAGGGCAACACTATGAGGTGGTTAATTGGTGACTGTAACATGTAACACCACTCAGTCAACCAGTCACAACCGCATATAAATTTTTCTTAACTCATCGTAATCCCCAATAATACTTAGTCGATGAGACCACAAACCATACGTGATGCTTCGAAGGTATAATCGACCAAATACCTTCAACCTAATTACATCGTTTATTTCCGACCACTTCGATTTGTAGCCCCATTAAATAAAACGACCAACCATCAAGTTTTACCAGTTGGCAATTGATCTATGCTAAAGATTATCTCAAGATAAGATACCTTCCGAAAATTTGAATGCAAACGGAAAACACCTATTTGGAATCCAATGATGAATATAAGCATTGATCAATTGACAAGGGATCATTATATTTTCACAGAATTACGAAGAGGATTTTTCTTCGTTTTTTTCGATTTAGGCTGGACGGTATCATTTTTTTCAGATTTTCGCTTGCGTATAATTCTATTGATTTCGTCTGTTGTTAAAGAAAGATCATCTGCGACTTGTGAAAGCAGTTCTTTTGATAATCTTCTAAGTGGTTGTTTTAATTTTTCAGGTTTACTGATGATAGGGATATCATTGCATGTATCATTTAGTTTCTTAATAAGTACACGAGACTTTCGACGGACAGCTTGAGGGAGGTTCGATAACTTTTCACTTATGGTAGTTAAAGGCACCTCCGTCTCATCAAAGTAAAGAGGGATGGAAATATTTGGACTTTGAATATAAATGGAACGAATATTCACCAAACCACCACCTGGCCATTCTGAAATGAGTTTTTCACACTGAAAAGTTAAAAATTAAAAAATATAGTGTTGATATATTTGGAGATTCTTATGAAATAGTTTATTTAAAGATGGTCAATATCAAAAATGGTAATAACTGTAAGATTACAAAAATCTAGTGACTGGGCGACAAGTGATTTGCATCATTCTGAGACTTTACCAATACAAACAATTAAATTTATACGAAATCGAACCTACAGTCACCAAAAAATGCACTTAGTGCATTACTCTTTAACCAGTGATGCGTATGAATTTTTACTGTCGAACCAATCCACGCTAAACATGACCACTTTTTACGAAGACTTCTGGATATCCATATTATTACTAAAAAAACGTAGACTGCCCAAACAGCGTTATAGTGGAGGCTAAGATTGAGTAGTTTTTTAAATGACTCTATTTGGTGATGGGAACCGTATACAAGTGGCACCATAAGTGACGATCAACAATTAGACTTGTGATAAGCTTATTCACTAACATATCAAGCAATAGTGCTCTAAAAACAGTTAGAAATGAACTGAACACTGATCCAAAACTCAATGACAGAACTAAGGTACCCACTGAACAAATCAAGTTAGAGGTTCAGTTGTCTCACCACATTTTTTAAGCTTCAAGATAAAATATATAAACAAATCAAAGGAACAGTGATGGGATTACTAATATCTCCGGTGGTTACAGATACATTTATAAACATTTATTGATCTGAGAATGTTAAGTCGTACTCCAAAAGTATAGTGGATGACATTCCTTGTTTTAAAATCAGAACATATCAATAGTCTTTTCACGCACATAAACTCAGTGGTAGAGAGGATTCAATTTATAAAGTGAACAAGGATAATTGAATATGCTGGATTGCGGAATACATCGAAGACAAGACGGTAGTCCACAGAAAACTAATGTCAGTGAAAGTGGGGTTCGTTAACTGTTTAAGAAATCGAGACAGTAATCTAACTAGTAAGCCTATAAATCGAAAAGAAGAAATAAAACAAATAAGAGAAACTTTACCACTTAAATACTATCCTTGGAAAATCAATCGAAAATTTGCAGGATCTCATGGGAAAAGGAGAGGCAACGATGTCAACAACAACCGCAACACAACTTATAAGGAGTTTAAGGCTTCTATTGATGTATTATGAAGGCACATCAGAAACCCTGTATCAAGTCCGTAATAAAACTAGGATTAGAGTGGCATTTAGGTAACCTTTATCGGTTTATTGATTCTGTTGATCTGCTGAGATAAAATAGTTTAACTTACTTAAGACCATGCAACGACTATGAGGTCATTTGGATTGGTGAAACTATCTAGATGTGGTCAATCAGATTAGCATAGCACAAGCAACTACCTAACCTTAGTATGATAGACCCCACCAAGATAAGTAACCTAGAAAAAACAGCCGCTACTACGCATATACTAAGACAAACGAATACATTACGGTGAAAAGTAAAATATCAGGGGGGACGGATAGGTTGGTCACTGAATTTCTGTTCATCGAGTGAACACCGAACAGATGCAGTAAGAATGAACCCATACCGATCCTGGATATTTGGAAAATTGTAAAAAATCAAAGAATAGAAGGTAGTAGATCTGTTTAAAGTATAAAAATGAAGAAGTTATGTGACCACAGTGATATAATTAAGAACAATAGTTTATGCTGAAAATGTCAGTCTTCAATGAATAATATTGAAATATCAAATAAAGTTCAATATCAACTAGTGATAAGTACTGATAAGTACGATAGACAAACCGCTTTTTTAACAAACATCAAAGACTAGTTATGTCAATGAATTATTAACGCTAGTAAGGAAGGAATGCTAGTTATCAAATCACGTGATCAAAGGCATTAAGTGCCCATTGGCCTGTAAATGAAAGTCATCTATTCATGCCTTTAACTGCTGCCCGCTGAGTTGCCGGTTTGTTGCCCTCCATACTTAGTTAGGTATGGATAACCAAGGTCTTGAGCATTAGGTATGACTAACAACCCAGTGAAAGAACGCAGACCAAGTCATTTAATGGCATCGAACCTATTGATTCGGTACCAAAAATTGATCATGCAGTGATGACTACGTCCAAATTCACTATACGATTTTTAATTATGACGAAATTGATTAAAAGGGGTTTAACTATAAGATCCATTGTAGTACAAAACTGAGAACTCTAATCAAAAAGAAAGATGGATGGAATCGGGAACACAGACATTTCACAGCAGTTACTTCTATTCAGAATGACCATAACCAGTACTTCATAAAAGACTCCCTACTACAAATGATTGACTCTATACGTAGAGCCTAAAAAACTGAATTTATGACTTTGATACATACTCGCTCTTTTTAACTGGTGTCTACTTCTATATTCCATATGATGACAAAGTCATCAGTGTTTACGTTAATTCGTTGACATTCCTGAGCCTACCTCTTCTGCATGTCTTTATTCAACCAGTCAGTTTGAAAGAGTTATGTAAATTTTCACACCTGGACACTTTCAGCGAAATTAAGGTGTTATTTTTAGAAAATATGAGCACATAATAGATGCATTTAAAGCATTTTTAAACGTTGACTTAAAGGTCTCCTGATTATCATCCTTGTTTTTCAGTAGCGATGATGTTTACATGATCTTGTGCAATTGATTTTACCACTTGATTTTCAGTGATATTCGTTTGTCTATTAAGGGTCGCGTGTACCTCACAGCAGTCCGCTCTGTTCTACTGTATGGCTGTGAAACATGGCCATTGAAAGTGGAGGATATAAAAAGGCTTCAGGTGTTTGACCACCGTTGCTTTCGTAGTATAGGACGTATTCCGTGGTGTCACCATGTGAGTAATGCAGAAGTTAGGTGTAGAGTTTTGGGGAGAAGAGGTAAGTCAGTTGACGAGGTTGTGAACCTTCATCGACTGAGATGGTTGGGACACGTACTACGTACGCCTAGTCACCGATTGCCTCGTCACATAATGTTGGCTGAGGTGGGTCCAGGCTGGAAAAAGGCCCGAGGTGGCCAGACTAAAACATGGCACCAATGTATGAAGTCTCTGACTGTTGGTTTAAGCCATGCAGGACGATGCAGACTAGATGGTTGGGGTCCACGGGACAAGAAGAATCAGTGGTTGGAGACCCTAGGTGATATGGCTCAGAACCGATGTGAGTGGCGCAGATGTGTACACACATTATCCTCATCTTAACAACGCTATACCGAATCTCACTATTTTGTCACTCCTCTTTCCTTTCTTCTCGTACTTTATATTTCTTTTGACTGCATTCACTTATCTTCATCCTTCGCCTCACTACCTTTTTACTTGATGTGCTGATATGAGGTGTGGCAACTCGGACCGTTACGCAGTAATGCCTGGTCCTATGTTGATAATGATGATGATGATGACTTGATTTTCAGTTTCTACGTAACCTGATTTCCACACAATCAAGTGTTCATCCCCGTACACTTTTTTAATCAATAAAAGATATCTTGACTACAAGAATGTGTTTTTCTGCTGTAAAGAACAAAAGTTCCGCCAATATTCATACCTAGAACATATGATATTGCGGAAAATAAAACTTGAACGATCTAACCTTGTTGAAAGTTATCGGCCTTTCCAGAATTCTTCAATCTGAACAGTCTGTTACTCAATATTTTATCAAAAATGAAAAGCTTACCAAGGTTTTATAAGTCTAGTATCTCAGGTAACGTAAAAAGACACTATGTGAGTAAACGAAATAACTTAAGAGAAAATTTTGTGGACACGAAAACTCACATTTTACTAGCTGGTGATGATTTGACCCTTCGGTTTCATTAAGCATTCACGGCAAGGTTATATTAGTCTGCTGCAGCTATCCCTAGTGTTTCCGTATCAACTTCAGGTCAATATAATGTGGCGTAACTCACCAAACGCATGCAGATTCAAACATTGGGCGATAAGTAGAAAACCCAGATACTAAAACTTGTGTAGACGGAATAGAATTCAAACTTGCAATAAAATGGGTGAAAGTCAAGTGCTCACAGGAACCAACGAAACTACACAAACTAACTAAATATGTGGACGATCACAATATCTGCTATTAACATATAACAGAAAAATCTGCTTTCAAGAAAGTGGAAGAAAGTTAGTGTATGATAGTGAGATACTCCGACACTAGAAGCAACTGTATCATCTGAACTTTTGGTATGTTGCAGATTGTAAGGAATAAATCTTATAAATGCCATATATTATTGGTCATAATAGTTCAGACAAATGCCTCAGGATAATCAGGAATAGAAGAATAAGAGTCTAAGATAGTAGTAAGGGGATCCAAAAAAAGCAAATTGTGCGGTAATTCGATCATCAGGATGACAGCATCGATATTATCAAAGACATGATCTCATCACATAGGTATCTGGTGCTTGTTTTGATATGTATCTGTCATGTTGTTGGTATTTGGTTTACCCGTATAGACATGTCACGAATTTATAATTGAGGGAAAGGAAGTAGATTAGTGGTCCCAGATGGTTTTCAACAATCCCATTACACCCATCTCTTTTTTTAAGGCATACTACTCTTTTAGTACAGACCACTTTTTCATCTGCCCCTCTTTTTTAGAAGTTCTATTCCGCACCCGTAGGCAGCTAGATTTCATGCAAATTTATAAAGACTCATTGTACAACGACCTGCATGGAAAAGCTTTTTAACTAGTTCAAAAAGAGATGTGTATAAAAAGTTGCTAGGGTTCTTAATTCAAACTGAAAAAGAACTGAATCTCTCCATAATCTCTTCACTGATGATACTCAAGTTTTTCGAAATAATCATTCAAAATGTTGTGTATCCAACAGCAATGTAAATGGGCTTACACAATATCTAAATGAATATTTGTACACTAAAGAAACATACTTCATTCACATACTTTTACTTTTAACCTAGTCAAGTCATGAATGAAATGTCATGTAAGTAAATAATAACGGTAATTAAATTGAGAAATTTTGTTCATCCTTTATTACATTTACTTTAAATATTTATGAAAGAAATTGAAACAGAATTACTTACAACTGATATCACATTTCCCTTTATCTCCGATGCGGAGAAGAGAGCATCACCAATGATAAGACTGTCAGCTGTCCCCTTCCCTCGAATGGCAAACAGTGACGTATGTATTTGCTTCTTAACAGTGTCAACGAGATTGCTATTTGAAAATGCAGTTGGGACGGGAAATTTACCGGAAACTTCTTGATAGAATGCTTTACCTAACTTGTTTTGTAAGCGATGGACAATGCGTTTGTCAGCAAGAAATATATCAAAACTGGCAGCTAAACGACGCTTAGACGCAAAAGTTTGGTAAGCCACCTTCAGCTCACGTAGTGGCAAAAATGTCACTGAAGGTATGTCTGGGTGGGAAAGTTCAGACTTTTTTAAATCCATATTCCAACGCCTTTTCCAAGATTCTGTACTTTTTTCATAATCATCTTTACGGTAATCCTTAACTATTAAACAAACTGATAACTCTTTTGACCGATGTGGCAAGTTTACACGAATAATTTTGGGTATGGATAACTTGCTTATTACAACCAGATGTATGTTGTCGGGGATTAGACTCAAAGTCTTAGCATTTGCAGGCGTTTTGAAAGTGTCATCTGTAATATTATTTAAATTAGCTTCGATAACATCCATCTGAAAATGATAACAGTGAATTATTGTAAGATATACTAAGTTCAGAGATAGCTGTTCAATAAAGATCTCGATATTAATGGAATTTCAAAACACTTTACGGTCGATGGAATTTCAGTTTTTTTATTAGCAAAACATACTCATTTTCTCTCTCTGTATAATGCACTGAAATGCAACTTAGGAACCACATTCATTTTCACGTAACAGGCAACGAATCACACTTAATGTGTGAGGACTTGTTAGCCCAAACCTCGGTAAATAGAACAGCATTCGAACCCACGAACCACTGGTTCAAAGTCAAGTACCTAGGCCAAAGAGTTACAACTTCTTTTGAGGCATCTAAAAGACGACCCTGTTATAACGGCAAATAAAGTGCTAAGTATATTTTTTGTAATTGAACTGATAACTACAGATATGACTGTAATATTCACACGGTTACTGACCAATAAATCTTACAGTTAAACAAACAAAATTATTTTTGTTTCCCAAGCTTATGAGTTGCCAACTGAGTTGAACGTAGGTGATTTATTTGGCACTATAACAACATATTTCACACTCTGTAGCTTTAACTACCAATTTCTATTTAGACTTCAAGACTCCAAGATGCCAGATAGCCGGTATATATTAATCACTGAACTATGAAACGTATCAGAGAGAAATCGCACAAAAGTCTACCATATTTTATTGGTCTTGTTATTGGGTAAGATAAATTAGATGGATGCCATCTACTGTCATCGTCACATTCAAACCAAGTATCAGACGAGTAAACTTCATTACCTGTTTCTCAGAAATTTCAACCTGAAAATGTTGTGTTCAGCAGAATCTTAAATTGTATTATAACTGAATCCTTTGCTTTTTAGATCGGAAAACATTTATCAAAATACCAATTACTTTATGGAACAATTTATTTAAATGTGGCAATAAAGATTTTCATGACTTTGAAGCTCAACCAAATCCATGATGTTTTGCGTATACAATGAAGATGGGGCCTTTATGCTACTTTAAAAATCCATACATCAAAATTTCTTAGGACATCATCAGGAAGTGGCTACCACTAGCCTTATTGGATTCTTATTCACATAGCGTACAACAGAGGACTAACCACTAGTTATATTTGAATTCGGTGGTTCCGCTCGTCAAACAAATAACATTAAAATACGACATTCGTCAGAAAGCCAACAAACGAAAGACTTACGGGGAATGGATTTTTCAACTTACATCAAGTAATACCTGCGCCTAATAGTAATTTTCGCCAAATCACAAGGATTTTGTGTTCCTGCTACTTTTAGATGCAAACAGTAATGTCATATAACGATCTGAGTTACTCAATGTGTCTAGATCTTCGGTCATTAACTATCAGGAAGGAATATGTATGTATGTATGTATGTATGTATGTATGTATGTATGTATGTATGTATGTATGTATGTATGTATGTATGTATGTATGTATGTATGTATGTATGAATTCGGATACATAGGGTAGTTGTTAACCTACACCCGAAGGTTGGCAAACGTCAATAGATCTTCACGACACTATCTAAAATGACTGATGCAAGAGGACTGATTTCAGCAGACTATGAAGAGAGGAAGTACAATAGATGTAAGTTGACCAAGAGCCTTCTCAATGAACGCGAACAGTGGTGGGTAGTGAAAGGGAGATGGAGAAGACATCACCGGTGGATAACCCTTGGCATCTATTCAGGCTTATTAGGGAAACTGTCAAGAAGACGATTGTGAGTGAAACCCTTACCGAATAGCATGGAACGCTGACAATCTTCCAGGACAGGAGGGTAAAAATTTGGGCAGAACACTGTGAAGTACGCTGCAACTAGCGCCTCGGCAACTCTTTAGTTGCCCAACAACAAGTCTGAATAGGATGCAGATTTCGGTCTTAAAAGTCTCCTGGAATTTGAGAAAGCCATATCGAACCTGAAACGATCCAAAGCAACAGGACCTGATAGTTTGCCACCGCAAGTTCTCAAGGATGGATGGATAGAGTGACGGAAGTGACTGGTAGTGTATGGGGATCTGAGACAGTGATCTCAGTTACTGGTCACCTTCACTGATCATCCTAGTCTGAGAAGGAGGAGAAGTCTTCCTGCAACGACTAAAGCATCGGAGGGCATCTAGTTCGAACACTTTCAGCTTTCATAATGTAATACTGCGGTTAGAGAGCTGACTAAATTGTTTGAAATACGGCAGACAAAATGTCCTATCAGTCAGAAATGAATCCAGCTTTCTCACATTTAAAAACTTCCAGGTAATTGATGTGAAAGTCATTTTGGTGTTACTTCAACACCAGTTGCGTTACAAATGTTGTCTGCTGTCACGCTTTACAAAGTATGAAAGGTGTAAGGACCGAATTGTGAGGAGCATGACAGACTTCACCTATTTATCAACAACCGCCCACCTGACAAATATCAAATATTACAAACCCATATTATTCCTTGACACTGCAGATGTCTTGGCTATTTTGAATAAGACTACACCATAGAATGGCATTCAGAAAGAGGATATATTGAAGTGACTCATCAGATATAGGAAGTGCCATACAAGTGGTGTTAAAAAAACTTCTACGCCAAGGAATGAAGTGAACTCCGACAGCAAAACACCGATAAACATGCTAGGCCATGAGCTAAACTCCTTTTGTGATAGCTGATGGAACTACATATCTATACTACGGAACAGCGCAAACATCGGCGAAGAACTTCAATCTGACCCACAGACTGAAAGTCAATGCATGCCTAGTAAAGAGCAGTTCCACGCCATACATACTGAGTTTCTTTGATTTTCGAAAAATACAACTCCCTGGTGATAAAATACAACAAAAAATGTTTGAAAGACTGACGAATCGTGAGCAGATCGAGGGCTGGGGACTAAAAGTAACACCGTCTCAGTCTGGCACTCAACCTTCCATTCTCTAAATCAAGGTCTGAAAACACCTTTTGTTAATAGTACGCTTTCAGTCAACGAACCAACAAGGTTCTTGAGTAGCTAACGGAGGTGAATTTTAAGTGAGGTCAACGTGAGTTCACAAACAGCTGACACAGGACCATTGTTATCTTTCCTTAGTGCCTAATCTGACTACGTACTACAAACAGAGTCCTGAGTTTCCCTCTTATTATGGCCAGATGTTACCAATAGTCAATATTGTATGTGGTTTATTGACTGATACCACTATGCTAAGCGACAGTTTAGTAAATTACTGTGTAAGAGTCCAGGTAAGTTTTAAAGGCAACTGCACATTCAAACTGATACATTTACTACAGTTTACATTGTGGGACAAACACTGCAGACATGCGGGAAAAAAAACCAAAACACGTGCTTGAGTACCTGTAACGAACAAACTGAACAGTGCCGCTCTTCAATGGTCGATGGTCAGTGTGTCGAACAAACATAAAAAGCAAGTAAATTTCATTCATTCAGATAGTGTGCTTATGAGCCAATTTGTGGTTTCATTTTGGGTGAGTCTTACCAGTACATAAATTCTGTCTGAAGTTAGAAAACCACAAATGATGGGAAATCGATCAGAAGTCAATAATTACGATAGTATGCCAGAAGTCCTGTGTTAACCGTAGCAGCAGATATATCTGTGTTGGCCCAGTTTCTTTTTATACTTGTTCATTGAAGAGGTTGATGCCATGGGCTGGTTATGAGTTGCAGTCACTGCCCCAGAGCTGACAGAAAAGCGGGCTCACCCTAAGTTGATGCAGTCGTCGCTTCCGGAGCTCCTTGTGATGGACTTGGAAATGACCGACTCTAGAAGCGGGATAAAGATCGCGCTTATCGTGGCCAAAGTTATTGGAGATGATGCGGATCTCTAGTATGAGGTTATTCCTTTCTCCACGGTAAGACGGCAGGAATAAATCCAGTCGACCTAATTGTTGTTCGTAGGAAACTTTGGGAAAGGCATCAAAAAGCTTACTACCCACTCTTTTGACACGCTGAAGTACAAAGACATCGCTTTGTAGCTATGAACTAGCCGCTTGAAGACTGCACTGTCTTCACCAAAACATTTGGAGGCTGTACGTATGGACCGTAACACGACGAAAGCCTTCCATGAGACTGCATCGAAACGTGAAAATGTTACTTGATCATGGCTTATTATGGCCCCTAAACCTCTCATCTCTAAAGCCTAGAGTGGTGAGTAGCTCTCAAACAGAATAATGACAATTGTGATAGCTAACTGACACTATTGCACCTTCAATAAATTTAATTTCCAAACACTGACATCTGAACCAACCTAATGCTTCAGCTTATCTACTTGAATGGTGTTCACGTCATGTCACTACTTGTGACGCTCCAGACATTTGTATTCACGTAATCACACGGTTTTTCGCGAACATTCGACAAGCCAAGATTGTTTGTCAAGGCCTTCCAGGGATTTCCAAGTGTCCTTGAGGAATGAACATTGTCGCGCTCCATGATGAATAAAAAAACCCGAGAAATCCACGCAGGCTTAACACACAAGCAAGAAAGCATATTTCCTTATTTTCGTCCTCCAACAGGTCATGGAATACAGGCATACCCACCGCGACCTACGCTGGCGATATTTCTCGACAAGAAGGTGGCATCTGATTGTCCACCGTCGGGTGTTGTGACACTACTCTAATGTGAGAAAAACACCGACCAAGCACGCAGTGCCGATCGGTGTCTTCTACTCGAAGTCGCACAGCTATGGAAAAGCGTCTGGAGGAGTTGTCATCAGAACTGACGACTCCCAGTCGTTTCTTCAATGAAAGCCAACGGTCAGCATACGTGTTCGACTTCGTTGCAGAAGTGGTAATGGTCATAACCCAAGGTATGCCCCACTTCCCACGGGCCGACCTACGCCTGGACGTCCCTTCTTTGTCCCCAAGTTTATAGACCATAATGTTTTGCTAGGTGAAAACGCTGGCGCAATACAGGGTCCAATGAAAGCGCTGGGCAGAAAAATGAATATTTCTGCCAGGCGTTTCGTACCCACCGAATGTAATATGGTGCTTAAAGACCAGCTTGCAGCAAGTGCTTCTAGTCTTATGGTAGGGATTGGGGTGTTGGCAAAACAGGTTGGTCGACTGACGAGGTTTCGGACTTTAATCCGATGAGATAGTTCAGACAGGTTCTGCTTGTCTTGAGCAACCGCCAACCACAATATGCAACTCTGGGGCAAGCTGGGTTAGTTTGGAAAACGGCTCGTGGCGAACAGACTTGAACGTCGCGCTGGTCCGTTTAGCCTCTGAGTGTTGGTCCGTGCTATGAAGGATAGCGTAGATCCCATGGCTGGGGCCCCCGGGACGAAAGGGTTCAGTGGCTGAAGGCTCACGGTGACTGAAAATTGGTCGCAGTGGCGCTGATGCATTCATTGCTTGACATCCGACGCTTGAATACCTGGATTAATTTTTACGTTCGAACTCTTTATTCTCTCATACAAGTCTATCCACTTCGATATCACTCTTTTTGACGTCCTCTGCGTACCACCATGAAGTGCGGTAACCCTAACCGATTGACAATTGTGGAAGGCCCTACACTGATTTCGATAGCTAGGAAAAATTAAGGTGCCAGGTTACCGGGATTCATCACGCTGAGTATATTTTATTTTCGAAAACCCGACGTAGCACATGAGATCAGACAAGATAAATGGGCATTTTCAGTTATTCCTAAACATTTTGACTTTTCCAGGAAGATTCTTTTTGGCTTTAGGAACCCGTTACTAAGTTTCCAAGCGATCACTCATGTTTAGTCATTATCATCTAGTGACATCTTGATATGGGATGAAGATCAACATAATTTACATGAGTTAATTAACAGACAGGTCAGTAACATTTTCTCCCAACTTCTTTGTACTACCTTACTTTCACAAGTTGAATAAGCTTCTCCAATCGACTTGTCAAACAAATCACTTAGATGGCGTTGAACTTCATTCAAAATCGCCGTCTTATTGGGTGGTTACAAAGGTAACCTTCAGCTTTGGTCTTAAATATTAGCCTGAAAACCTAACATCAGAGGGGTGGATATCCCGTGTGAAGTGATTGGTGGCATATCCCCCAAGTTTCAAGAAGCTTTAGGTTAAAATACCAGCTCTGTTTACCTAGGGGAACGTCACGCGAAATCGTCAATACCTTTTTCCGCGAATGATTTGTGAAATTCGGAGTTTAATGATAAGGAATATTAACGTTTGAGTAGTTTAGACTAACCTTGGTACCTTCAGGGCGAATATGTGCAGACAGACTCGAAATATTTGCACTACTAAGATTAGATGGTCTCAAATGTCATTCGAACCCCTCCTGGTTAGCTAGTTCACTAGTTACTAGCCGCTCCTAAGCCCAGGTAAAAAGAGAAGGTTGGGCATATGGCTAACAACCCTACCCCGTTAAACAAATCCAATCGCTAAGGAAACTTCAAAGCTCGAGGAAAGTATTAAAAATAAAAACAAAATTACTCCTCGCTGGAGTCGAAGAGACGAAATGACGCCCGTGTGTGAAAGACTTCGGGAAGCGAGTCGGTTTATGTATCTTCCCTCTCAATGAAAGCGAAAGTAAGAATGGGGACATGGAATGTCCGCACCACGTTGAACCTAGCAAGGCTGCTCAAATTGCAAAAGGGGTGAGGAGGCATAGCATAGAAGTGATGGGAATCTGTGAGGAATCTGCACATGGAATGAAAGTGGACTCTCCAAACTATCAAATGGAGAGTCGACAACTTACTCCGGTCACCTAGACAACAATCACGAGCACACTGAGTTTTGGAGTGGCTATCAGGATGTCTCCAAGATCATCGAAGTCTCTCATACAGTGGGAACCAATCTCCTCCAGGATCAAGATTATTACAACAAGATCCAACTCAAGAGGAAGGAAGGTCACGATCATCCAATGCTACGCTACTCACCTACAAATGATGCAGATGGAGAGAAGAGGGAGCAATTCTACTGACAACTGCAATCAGTAATGGACAAGACCCAACACCACTTGGCGACATAAAATTTCTAATTGGTAATATGAATGCCGAACTGCAGCCTGCAGCACAGGATAAGAACTCGCTATGGATCAAGGGGCACTCAGTGAAATGGATGAGAACGGAGAACTGTTTGCAGATTTCTGCGCATTCAACCATTTGGTGATTGGAGGCAGTGTGAACAAACACAACGATATTCACAAAGCGACTTGGGTAACACCGGACACCAAGACACACTAAAAATCAGATAGACTTCAACTCAATGTGAAGAAAGTGGAGACAGCCTACTGGACACCAGGTCAGGTCAAGGAGAGGAGCAGATGTAGGTTCACGTTACTCACTATCTAGTGCAAGGAACCTGCCTTCAAAATGAAATCGAAAGCCCTCAATTCAAGGAGGTTGGTGACAGACCGTATTTCATGTCCAACACCCAGAGCAGAAACTGAAGTGAAGGACGACCCTACAAGGGGCATCTTCACATCAGCCATCAGAACAAAATGGGAGACATTAAACAATATCCACGAGGAAACCTGGGTGGAAGAACACCAGAACTCTTTGAAGGCCGTGTGGAAGGAAACCTGCATAACCGTGTTGGGATGGAAGAAGGAAGAAGACAAGGAATGGAAGTTGCTGGACACGTGGAAGCTGATAGAGGAGTGAGAGGAAGATGCTGGTGGTGAAGTAGAAGACGAACCAGTGCAGTCCAAGGATGAACGCCGAAAAGTGGAACTGAACACAACCCGTAAAAACACCACACTAGATAAAGAATTTAAGAAGTGTGCGCGGAAAGACAAAAGACACTTCTACGACGCATTGGGAAGTGAAGCAGAACAGTCCGCAGGTAAGAGAGAGATCTGACAACACTATATCAAATAGCCTGGCTACTATCTGGGAAGGAAGAGGCCAATGCAGACGAAACCAATGAAAGATAGCGAAGCAGACATAGTTAAGGAAGAGGAGAAACAACGGAAACAGTGGGCGGACCAATTCAAAATGCTTTTGAAGCGACCACTACCACCTGCAACTCGTCCAGAAATGTAGGCAAACACGAGCCCTCCGACAAAAGCCGAGGTAAAGTTCTGAACACCACGAAGTTGCTGGAATCCGGGAGAGCAGCAGTACCAGATAGATTTCCACCAAAAGCACTGAAAACAGATACAGAGGCATCAGCAGCGAACATGCTCACAGCACTACTGCAGAGGGTTTGGAAGGAAGGAAGGAAAGGTATCTGCATATTGGAAGAGGGTGTATCTTGTTGAACTCCCAAAGCAAGGAGACATGGCCTTTTCAGGAACTGGCACCCAGCAAGAAGAACAAGATCCGGATTTTCAACACCAATGTCAAGTTAGTGCTTCTATATGGTTCAGGAACTTAGCGTGTCACGAAAAGCATTTCCAACAAACTGCGGACATCCATTAACAGCTGCCACATATGCTCACTCGATACTGAAGATCAGACGGCCAGAGTAGCAAGAGTAAGCAACAAAGAACTCTGGGCTGGCAACGAACCAACCAAGAACCTATCACCCAACTAATGTTCAGAAGAAAGTGGAAATGGATGGGGCATACTCTGAAAGGGCCGACCGAGGACACCACGCACCGGACCGCCGAGTGGAACCCAAAAGGAAATAGACGAGTTGGACTTCCGGGGTGACATGGAGGAGGCCATGTGAGGAAGAAAAGAAAGCTTGTGGGTAGTCGTGGCCCCAGGTTTTAAGGATTGCAGGGAATAGAGTGTAACGGAGATGTGCTACCGGAGCCATATGTTCCACTAAGAACCCAAGGGAAAAATAAAATATTAATATAAATATCCTTCAGAACACAATTGGCGTAGATTTTGGCAGAACGCCTTATGAAGCCTTTTATGATTCAGCCGAGAGAGTAAAACCAACCGCAGAGAATTTATTTCACCTTGAAGAGCGGAAGTTTATTGAATGACATATGATGGTGAAGACAAAGCGGATGCTAAAGTTGAACATTCTGCAGAAGTTCCAACTCACAAATTATCTCCACACTGAACAGAAAAGTTGGTGGCACTGAGCCGAAAGGATCTGATCCTCTGGATAAAGATTGTTGTGATGCATATAGATCCTTAAGTCGCTGAACGACTGAAAATTCAGCAGGTTCAAGAGAGCTGCACTCAGGGACGCTCAGGAGACCTGCTAAATGGTGCCATTGGTTCGCTGACTATCAGTTAAGCCTTTTCCTCGATTCAGCCTTACTACCAAATAACTAGCGCCCATCAAATTAAACGCTGTTAAGCCTGGTAAATACCGTGGCCAGTGGCAGAAATCGAAAAGGTGTTTCTGATCCACATGTAGGATAATACGCATCTGCCCTATTCGAAGCGTCGCTTTCATGTGTTCTTGAGCAGGTATCTAACTAACCCCAGGACAAGAGGAAACAAAATAGTGTACGGGGATAACGGAAAGCCTCCGTACGTTATTTTCACTGGTTGCACTGGGCTGCCTGACAAACTGTCACACCTTAATTTTCTGGCGGAAGTATCCAATTTTGTAGCCACCAATAGCCTACATACGTATCTAGAAGCGTATCCTGTATGTAGTAAACAGAGGCTAGCGATTGGCTTCATCTGACTCATTAATAGTTAGTACACAGTAAAGTACTTCAAGAAACTTTCTTGAGTCTCTTACTGTTTTGCCTGTATAATAAAGGACCATTCAGCTTGGTGAGTATCTAGTGTTACTTCCCGCTGATGATGTAAAGGTCCAACGTTTTTCATGTGTGCTGACCTCAAAAGCCTCTTGACCTGGTCATAGAATTAGGCGTCGCAAATCAGCGCAGTTGTGCGTTTGACTTTTACATTGCCAGTATGGGAGAAATTTCCCTTGCTCCAACATTTACCCCCAGGGCCTAAGAATCATTGTTAGAAGACCACTGAACTCATCGTCCAACTGCAGGACGACTTTCACAACAGTGGCAGCAACATGTAAAACCTTATTTCTCATCGGTGGCGAGATGTCAACCACCTAATGCTTGCGTTTCATTCCATCCAAGTTCAAGAAATATTCACATGAAGCAATCGCATGTGTGTAAAGAGATAGCTCTCTTGTGCTGAATAACAGCGCAGATATCTTTGTGGCGCTACAGAGTGGAGTGACAAATTTAGTTGTCGAACCAATGATTCTTAAAGCCGTCAGAAGAAAAGAAGTGACGTAATTACAGTTTGCAAGATCAGATGTCACGTGGACCAAGCTGGCAGGACATCTCTACCAGTTCAGGAGCGGCAGTTTCACCAGAATCCTAGTTGTGAACCAGGCCTAAGCGTCATGATAGGAAGCTAGGTTTCATTCCTTTTTTATAGAGCTTGCGTGCTACAGATTACCTGCTAAGTATGCAGTATTAAACCCCTTACTTGGCTCCGTCAGGAAAACGTTCAAAAACAACACCAGTACACAATTTGGTAGCTGTTGAGCAGATACTTCTATACTCTTGTACCGGCCCGCACTTGCATCTGCACTACATCCCGTACTTCTCGTGCACTGTTGTTGCGACTATTATCCTCCACCAGACGCCTTTCCCAACTTTCTTTTTCATCCTCCACGTAACACGTTGCAATACTTCAGCCTGGCGACACTATATTTGCTACTGTGGATCGATATGGAAGGGAATTGTCCAACAGTAATCGGCCCAACCGGCAGCTATATAGCTCTCCAAAACAAACAAAAGAAGAGCCCGCAAACAGACACACGCTGCATGAAAAATGTAACACGCAGGTAAACTGCTTTCGAAACCAAAGGAGAAGAACTTGAAAAAATGAGCAAGACCATAAGACCTGGACATGAAAGTTAAAACATGAGCTCCCAATACTAACACCATTGATGTTTGTGGAGTTAACGTTCATGTCATTCGGGTTATTCGGATTCCCCTTTGTAGTTTGTGAACTTATCTTAAGTGTTTTAATTTGGTTTGAACAAATGCGGATGAAGATTTAACTTCTCAAAAATATTCGAAAAAATATACATTTTCCTCTAGGATAAAAATGACACCAAACAACTTTAAACTAAGATTGCAGTGAAATACTTCCTATTAGATGGAATACAATAAAATCCTCGAGAGATCCTACTCTCTTCTAAAACACCAAGAAGAAAATACGAAACAGTCAACTGGTGTCTATTAGTTCACCAAAACATTGGATATTAAGTTAAAGTGTCCTATATCTAACCCCGTAGGAGCGCGGTATCTTCAGATGTCGCGTCTGTTCTTCTACAAAAAAATTCGGGATGTTGTTAACCGCTTACCTAACCACTATAAAAAGAGATATCTAGAAAACCAGAATGAACTAGCCAAGGAAAAGTTTCGTGCCACCTCACTAATTAAGGATGAATGCACCGGAACTGTGTGAGTTAAGTGTGTTTTGTGTGTTAATCGTAGTACATAGCCTTCCTAGCTCTTACTTTGAATCTCCATTGAATGTTATTTATCCTCCTGAATCCGAAAAGTGCTTATGGGGTGGAGAGGGTATTATTCAAGGTTATTGGGAGAAGAAAAATCAGAAACAGAGGTACGATAACGCACCAATGTCTTAGATAACGTTAAAGGTTCCCTAAAACGTGGCACCCTGTTCTTACGGAACAACTGTTCTATAGTGAGATTCTGGATCGTTGGATGATTATAATTGTATCAGACAGTGCTTTGAAACAAATTGAAGAGTCTGGCGGCTTTGATTCATATATACTTTCGGTTTGTACACGTTTGTATCATATTCGGTGCTTCGTAGACTCCAGAATCGAAACTTAAAAGTAGACTTGGGATGTATCTAAAGAGGGACATGTTGATCACTCTCGCAAAGGCCAAGAAGAATGGAAACATTAAGAAATCTTGGCAAAAGTTTTCAGAATTTATCATACCCGTAAGTTTCACTTCACCGTTCAAAAATAGTATTTTTGTTTTTCGTAATTTTAAATACCCTATATATTGTCATGAAGTGTTAAGTTTTTTATTATAATTGGGAGGTTGTAAAAGTGCTAATCTTGGTTTCACAATGATAGACTAAGACCACGATTGTATACCGAAGAACCTTTGAATTGGCGAATCATGTTGAACGTAACTGTTTGGTTGTAAATCTAGGGAAAGTTGGATTAGGTCGGATGAGGGATCATAGTGACCAGACCAAGACGTGATACCAGTCTATGAAGTTTTTGACTGTAAGTCTGAGCCGTACAGACTACCTGACTGGGATTCCCGAAATAATAGGAATCACTGGTTGTGGACTGTTCGTGATATGGCTGAAAATCGGTCACACTGGCGCAAATGTATCCAGTCTTCGATGCCTTCTAAAGTTTAAATGTTGTGACTAACTTTAATTTTCAAATTCATTCTGCTTCTATACTCATTATTCTTTTTCGATATCAGTCTTTCCTATCCACTTGTTCCTAATATACTACTGTTAAGTAGGGCACTAACGTGCGATGTTTTGTGTTGATTGTCTGCCTTTCTGTATAGTCGTTCTACAAGACTTAAAATTATTGAAAGGATGTCAATAAGTATAGATAAACTTATGCCCAATTCTAATAGAATCACAAATCTTACCACTAAACGATTCAGGTGCTCTCCGTGAACTCGCACAAGACCGCAGAAGCCTATTCAGACTGTATTTCGTGACGCAATAAGCCTTCTGGAATCCTTGTGTAATCAGTTCCTGAAATCCTTGATGCATCTTACCATAAATGATATATGTGTATATATTATTATTATTATTATTATTATTATTATTATTATTATTATTATTATTATTATTAGTCCCTTGGGTTCCTAGTGGAACATAGGGCTTCAGTAGCACGCCTCCAGTGACCTCTGTTCTCTGAGATCTTTTGAACCTGGTCCTACGACAGCCCACAAGCTCTCATTTCCTCTTCGCACGACCTCCTCCATGTCACCCTCGGACGTCCAACTCGTCGCTTCCCATGGGGATTCCACTCGAGGGCCTGACGCGTGATGTCCTCAGTCGGCCTTCTCAGTGCATGGCCAATCCATCTCCACTTCCTCCTGCATATTTGTTGCGTGATAGGTTCTTGGTTGGTTCGTTCCCAGAGTTCCTTGTTGCTTATTTTTTCTGGCCATCTGATCTTCAGTAGCGAGCGTAAGCAGTTGTTGATGAATGTCTGTAGTTTATTGGAAATACCTTTCGTGACGCGCCAAGTCTCTGAACCATACAAGAGCACTGACTTGACGTTGGTGTTGAGAATCCGTATCTTGTTCCACATGCTGAGTGCAGAAGATCTCCACACTGGTTTCAGGCCAATGAACGCCTGTCTTGCTTTTCCGATTCTGACTTTGACGTCCTCGTCCGTGCCGCCTGTAGTTGAAACAGTGCTTCCTAGATAGGTGAAGGAGGTTACTTCCTTCAAGTTTCTCCCGTTGACGGTGATTGGAGTTTGTTGTTGTTGGTGGTGGTGCGGTATCTTCATCACTTCTGTCTTCTCTATATTCACCTGAAGTCCCGTCTTAGCTGCCTCTTCTATCAACTTGTTAGTTTTTGCTTGCAGATCTTCAAGTTTATGTAACATTAGGCACAAGTCATCGGCGAAATCCAAGTCTTCTAGGTTCTTTTCCGTCGTCCAGTGTATCCCCCTCTTCTCGCTGCCTACTGTTTGCTGCATGATCCAGTCCACCACAATAAGGAATATCATGGGGGATAGTAGGCAACCTTGTTTCACTCCTGTCTTCACTTCAAAGGCATCACTGAGCTTCCCATTGTGGATTACTTGGCATGTGGCATCTTCATATAGTTGTTGAATGAGGCGGATAAAGGTTTGCGGTACTCCGTAGTATTGAAGCAGTTTCCAAATTACTTCTCGGTCGACGCTGTCAAAGGCCTTCTCAAAGTCGATGAAGTTGAGGTAGAGAGCTGATTGCCATTCTATGCTCTGTTCTATGATGATACGAAGCGTTGCAATTTGGTCTGCACATGATTTGTACTTCCTGAAGCCTGCCTGTTCCGGTCGCAGTTTTGAATCCAGTGCGTCTTTAAGCCTCTCTAGGATGATGCGGCTTAATATTTTACTTGGGGTGGACAGGAGAGTGATTCCGCGCCAGTTCTTGCAAGCACTGAGGTCTCCCTTCTTCGGCAGTTTGACAAGGTAACCCTTCTTCCAATCGTCAGGTACCTTCTCTTCCTTCCACACCTTCTGCAATAGTGGTGTGAGCATGTCCGCTGTTGTCTCTGCATCTGTTCTCAGTGCTTCTGGCAGGATCCCATCTGGTCCTGCTGCTTTCCCACATTTCAGTAGCTTTATGGCGTTCAGGACTTCCATTTTCGTTGGGGGATTTATGTTCACTTGTAATTCAGCGGCTGCAGGTGGTATTTCTGGACGAAGTGCAGGTGGTGGTGGTGGTGGTCGATTCAAGAGCTTCTTGAAGTGGTCGGCCCATCGTTTCCTCTGTTTCTCTTCTTTTGTAATTAAATTTCCTTCTTCATCTTTTATTGGTTTCATCTGTGTTGGTCTCTTCCCTGATAGCAACCTGGTTATTTGATACAATGTCGTCAGGTCTCTCTTACCTGCAGCCTGTTCTGCTTCACTTGCCAGTGTTTCGTAGAAGTGTCTTTTGTCTTTGCGTGCACTCTTCTTCACTTCTTTGTCCAGTGCTTTATACATTGTGCTCAGTTCCTCTTGTCGTTGAGCATCCTTGCACTGGTTTATCTTCTGCTTCACCATCCTCCTCTCCTCTATCAGCTTCCAGGTATCCGTCGAGATCCATTCCTTGTCTTCTTTCTTCTTCCTTCCTAATACTGTTGTGCAGGTTTCTTTCCACATAGCTTTCAAAGACTTCCAGTGTTCTTCCACACAGGTTTCTTCAGGGATGTTCCTCGATGTCTCCCATTTTGTCTTGATGGCTGCCTTGAAGATCTCCTTTGTAGTTTCATCCTTCAGTTTCCGAGTGTTGTACTTGAATTGAGGTCTATCACCAGCTTCCTTGAAGGCTTTTAACTTGATTTGGAAGGTTCCTTGCACTAGATAGTGGTCTGAACCTACATCTGCTCCTCTTCTTGACCTTGTGTTAAGTAGACTGCGTCTCCATTTTCTTGAGATTGAGATAAAGTCGATTTGATTTTTAGTGTGTCTGGTGAAATCCATGTCACTTTGTGGATATCTTTGTGCCTGAACACACTGCCTCCAATCACCAAATCGTTGAATGCGCAGAATTCTGCAAACAGTTCTCCATTCTCATTCATTTCACCTAGCGCCTCTCGACCCATGGTTGATTCTCTTCCTGTGTTGTCCCCTCCCAGTTTGGCATTCATGTCGCCCATTAGAATTTTGATATCGCCAACTGACGTCTTGTCCAGTGTTGATTGAAGTTGTCTGTAGAAATCCTCCTTTTTCTCTTGCTCTGCATTATTTGTAGGTGCATAACATTGTATGATTGTGACCTTTCTTCCTTTTGAGTTGAATCTTGCTGTCATGATCCTGGAGGAGATTGGTTCCCACTGCATGAGAGCCTTCGATGCTCTTGAGGACATCATGATAGCCACTCGACTCAGTGTGCTCGTGGTTGTCGTCTGGGTGACAATGTCAGAGTAGATTATTGATTCTCCAGTTGACAGTTTGGAGAGTCCACTCCCATTCCATCTGCTTTCGCAAATCCCAAGCACTTCGATGTTATACCTTCTCATCTCCTTTGCAATCTGGGCTGCCTTACTGGGTTCAAACATCTTTCGGACATTCCATGTCCCCACGTTTACTTTCGCTTTCATCGAGAGAAGACACATCGGCCAATTGGCTTCCCGAAGTCAGGCTTTCACCAACTGGCGTCATTTCGCCTCTCCGATTCCAGCGGGGAATAAGTTTGTTTTCATTTTTTATATTTTGTTTGTGCTTTGAAGTTTCTTTAGCGGTTAGATTTGTTTTACGGGGTAGGGTTGCTAGCCCTATGCCCAACCTTCGCTCTTTACCCGGGCTTAGGACCGGCTAGTAACTAGTAAACTAGTTAACCAGGCGAGGTTTATGTGTATATACGTAACAATTTATTATCATACAAAGACGGTAAAGCAAGTGTACCTAGAAATGGGCCACACATGAAAATGAAAACGACGAAACGAAACACACTCGGCCACCTTGTGCATGTCCTTGCAGTAAGCAATGAACCGCACTTGTGTGAGGGGTAGTGATACTATTTCGTTGCCCACACCTCGGTAGATGGGATGGCGCTCGAACCCGTGACCCAATGGTTAATAGTCATCTCCCCAAACCACCGAGCCACAGCATTGAAGACATAAAGCGAAGGCATGTAGATAAATGAAAGAGAAAAACACATTAAGAGAATGATTAGGAAGGCAGTCCAGTATGATGCATTCAATACAAAGCATTCATTACTTTTCAGTGGCAGAAGAAAGAAGGAAACTACAGCCTGAATGCTACTGGTTTCGATTCTGAGACGTATCTGACAACCTCTCAATCCACTAAGTTGTGTGATCTCTCGGACCCCACCCAGGGAGTCGGGATGCCCAACAAGTACTAACCCAATACAAGAATCCTTCATCTTATACACTGAACACGTCATACACTGACCACCCTCCTGCTTCCATCCAGTCCCATGGCTAGCAAACAATGGACGGTATGCAAGCCGTTGGAACGACATGCTTAATACATGTTCGAACCACCGAAGTTGGTGTTTCCAGATGAATTTACTCATTGAAGGATGACCTCCATCATGCCCAAACACACTGTTGTACCTCATAACTACTTACACGGTGTTGTCACCTGATACGGGCAGTCCTGGGGAGACAAGGTTAATTGAACAGAGTCGTCGCACATCAGCTCGGAAAGGCCAGGTTTTACAGGAGTAGTATAAAACTGCTCACACCGAAGCGTTGTAAACCTGACGTTTTACCGTCAGACTAACGTCGCGACAGCGCTGAAGGTGGCTCAGATTGGCGTATGCCACTCTGACTTTCGATATGCGGTTGGAAACCTCACTACTCACACAACCACCGAGACACAAGAACTTTCCAGCTACCTCCAACGGCTCACCACTGAGGATGAGTTCAGATACAGGTTCCTGCCACTCTTTCAAAACTACTTTGAACTTCGATGGTGCAAAGCATGTACTATACTTACGAAGCCTAGTCGCTAACTGATTAAGTTGGATTTGAGTAGTCTCTGTGTTATCGCACAGTAAGACAATATCATTCGCATATTCAAGGTCGAATAGCCGTTCTCCATGTAGTAGATCTACATGACCACCACTCACCTCCTTCAGAGGTGTCTCAAGAATGTCGTCGATAGGAAAATTAAAGAGGAGTGGAGAAGTCGGGGGACCCTGCCCAACCCATTTTTGGTTTGAAATAACGGAGATAGGTGGTTATTTACCCTGATTCTCTCTGAGGTGTTTTTATATAGGGCTTTCAGGGTGCTAATAAATTTCTCAGGGACGCACCTCTGTAACAGACAGTTCCAGAGCGAAGCTCTATCCAACGAATTGAGGGCATCCCTAATGTCAAAAAACAACGATTGTTGACCTCCGGTATGTTTGGTGACGTTCAGGCATGTGGTGGATGTTAAATATACGGTCAGTGCATCCACAACCTGAACGAAACCCAACCTGCACCTCGCGAATCATCTTCACATGCGTTTTGCAAAGCCTGCGAAGTATGATAGCAGCAAATATTCCCAATGTGACTGGTAACAGATTAATACCCCGATGTCACATACAATACGTAGACTCTTAAAGATAGGCACAATGATGGAGCATTCTCAACGTACCATACCTTCTCAAACAGTCCAGCCAGTTCCCTGAATAAAGTCGTTTTTCCATCCTTAAAAAGAGCCAGGGTTAATTAAGTTGTTTGGGCGGGGTGCCTTGTGGCGTTTCGAAACTTGAAGTTCCCTATGAACCTCTCCTGACCATAGAGCACAATACCTTGAAACTGAAGATGCTGGGTCAGTGGACCAGCTAACTGCTTCCCAAAGCACTCCACCCAGAGTTCCTAGCATCTTTGAAGATTGTTTGTCGGCATACTACCTATCTCATAGACTGTCTCACTGACACCAGACTTCGTTCTGCCAGTGACTCGGATGAGCTGGAACAGCTTACGACTTATCAGGCGCAACTCCCCCTTCCATCTCACTCGCGCATCCTGACAACCAAGCCTCGTAGCCCTTGAGTAAGCATTGTTGTCTTTCGCGTAAGATAATTGCACAGACCGTTCTACTCGCTTTCTGCCGGAATGGCTCAACAAGCGTCAAAAAGTTGCGGGGAGCTCGTAGGGACCCAGTGTTTGGAACACATGGAATATTATATTATCGATACTATGTCAACCGTAATGCATACATTCAGTTTTATTGACAATTCTGTGTGAGTTGCAAACGCATTAAGAAACCTGATGCCTACGTTCACCAAATTAACTTTAGTGAACGATCATTATTATTATGACAGCATTTCATACCATAGGTGTAAAAGTACGTTTTTAAGTATCCTCCTCAGTTGATAAGCGAAAGCATCATGTCTACCGTTGGTAGTTAAATCAACGTGCTTCGTGCACCAATCATTATTCTTTTTTTTGTTCATCTGACTTTGCACTTTAACCAGTCAAATTTAGGAATCGATTTATTTTATTTGGCAATTTGTAGATTAACTTGTAATCACCAGTCATTTTTATACCATAAATAACAAAGTGGATAACATATATTTTTTATCACGTTTACTGTTATCACAAATCACTTTGAATATCTGTTTGATCAGCGTTGTTGCCTATTCACATAGAAATGGAGATTGATTAAAACGGTAAAACATATCACTGGATAGTTTTTGCCCCATAAGTACTCTGACTTATAATTATAAATGCCGTGGTTTTCGGCAATCGTAGGATAGTATTGTTAACATTGATAATTACACACACTAAAAATAAGATTTCGGGAGTCAGTTGTATCCTTTTAGCGGTCTTAATAGTAAGAAGAATACATTTGTCTGATGGGAAACTAATTAGGATAATTATGAATAAAAAATGTGATCATTTGTACGTTAGGTAAGTTCATTGGAGATTTTCAACAAACATGAAGGTGATAATTCACTACAAGTCAGTACCATTCAAATAGCCTTTAAAAATTGGTCTGCTTTACTCCATCTTAGTACTCTTGAGTCGCATTTACCTACGTTTTATATCTTATTTGAGTCTGTGACCTTCATACTTCAGTGCAAGTTTGTTAATATTCCAACTGACTAACCTGATATTTAGACTAATATTGCAAACTTCCTATATTGAATGACATCCATCCGTACAGTGTCACTGGCCATATATATATATATATATATATATATATATATATATATATATATATAATGCTGATTCATTTAGGAATTCACAGTTGGCAAGGATCTCAGGTCCTAAAAAAATAAGTTTGTACGTAGTTTTGATTTGTTCTATGGAAACTAACATTACTAACTGGATACTCACGTCGGTGCAATTTTATGCCCACTGAATCAATACCCTTGTGGTTTATGGTTAATAGTGTTGAAAACGTGTTCATTTATGCTTAACTGTAAAGTTTCATTATTCAATTACTATACCGTCGTTTGGATAAGTGTAAAGTTTTATTGTTGTTCATTCTGTTTAATATTCATCTTTTCTTGTCCATTTTAAACATTTTAGTTTTAGTGTAAAGTAATGCAGTGTAAAATATATTCTTTGAACTATGTTCTCCTGCAACTTACTATTAAAAAAAATGGTGTTTAAAAGAATCTTACAAGACACATAAAATTATTGTATCACTATGAACAAAGTATAAAAATCTTTGAAATCAGTGAGTTTCTCATGAACTTTCGAATTAAATGCCAATTTATTGCTTACTAGTGGATGACTTTGTGTTAGACATCCCGACGTTTTTGTGAGAAAGTGGGAACTCTCATGTTAGTAGAAATACTCGTTGGTCGTTTAGTGGTTGACATGTATTAGTCACCGACAGCAGTCGAAGTGTAACCCATCAGATTCCGATCTAGTGATCGCTCATCGTCAGACGGGATGATGTTCGGTTTGATCTTTCACGTGTTCGTAAGTGCATGCAGCCGAAGAGCCCTGATTTAGGGCGAAATAGTTGTCCACTTCCTTTTGGTTTTTGAGCTAATTTCGACTCGTGTTTAGAAATTCTGTAGACAAATGGCAGTCTTTTTTCAAGGTTGGTAATTTTTATCCATCTGTTTCATATGCCCCTTCAGCTCAATAATTGCCTACAAGTCTATATAAAAGACAATAAACTACACCAATTGTGTCACGGTTGTAATGCTGTCTCGGTGGCTGGTGTATAGTTCTAACCCCTGACCCATTAGTCAAAAGTATATTATCTAATCTAAATGAGCTACAGTTCCGTATATCATCGCCGATATACACTGGTCGATTTTTGTGAAAAATCTTTTAGTATTGCAGCAAGTTACATGAGTGTGCAATGACCAATTCGTACTCTGTTACTAGTTGAATCAGTTAGTCAAAAAAGGGTATACTTAAAGCTGGCACTGGTCGGCGTGAACTTCAATCTCAGAAGAAACAAGTTGCAAGCATGTTCCACTAATGAGTGGTAACAAAGTCTGGACTTATGTTAATGATTTCTATGTTATTCTACCTATTAATACCGATGTGTACTTTTCATTTCTGTGTTAATTAAAAGCCATTATGTGCCTACCCATTAATCAGTGTTGATGATCTCCTGCCTTCTGTCATACCCATTTCTTTATCTCATATTTAGCTTGAAGAAGCCGAATGGATTGGTCTTACACTAGAAGAGGCTGTTAAGAAACAAATGAAAATAGAAGATGAAATAGCCAAAAGTCAAATAAAACCACTGAAATTTACTCTAGCAGAAAAGTTGATTGATGATTTGCAAAACTCCATTGGAGAAAAAGGTTAGATGCAGTTACCTGATATATATATATATATATATATATATATATATATATATATATATATATATATATATATATATAACATTCTCTTATTACATTAGGATCATTTTCATCTCCCTTACCATGAGTGAACTTAGTGTGATAATATGACTACCAATGACGTCACTAATTCTGATCTTCTAGTCTTCTTTCTTCATATCTCTGATTATTTCCCGGTCATGCATTATTACGAAAATAAGCATCACCAAAATATTTTGACGAGGTAAATAATAAATCCCAACCTGGCATAAGTTTCTACAGTTGGCTGTGAGGCATGCTTGCGTGAAGGCTTATGATACTATCCGGTTGCCAAGGCCAAAGTAGGTGGAGCGGGACTGGAACCCGAGACCCTTTGGTTAATTATCCAGAGCGTTTTAAAACCGGAATTTGTAAAACGTAATGTATCTGTCAAGCACTAAAAGAATATTGTTCACTCAGAGCAGTTGAATCCTTGGAATCACAAAAATGTAATGTTACTTCGACTGTATTTCTGTCAGTCATCTTGCCAGGAATAGAATGCAAGTAAAAAGGTCGTTGAAACAGTGGGTTGTCAGTCAGCCCCCCCTATTCATTGTACCAAAAATTAAAGCACATGCATTCCAAACTCAAAGAATCGCGTTATCATTTTCAGTATGTTTAAAAAAGCGTCTTGACCGCGTCTTCATTTGATTAGAATAAACTGTTTTCATGTTCAAAATGGACAGAGATATCTTCAAATTACATTGTTATCCTTTGAATTTCAGGAGCAGATACCCCTCTGATGATCCTAAGGAAAAGAGTATTGGAACCAGTGAACGTTCATTCATGATGAGCTCAGCTTTTGATCATTAGTTAGAATAATCACTCTTCTCGAGTCCATCAAGCCATTTGTATTATGTGCGATTTTGCCAAGTGGTATATGAAACTATACTGAGCTTGGGACTGACATTGAAGTCAAATAAATTCTTAGCTCGAGGAAAATAGCTTGTTTAACTCTGATGACGGTACTGTATCTTAGTAGCTAAAGTTGAGCGAAAGTTCATTAATTACGCCCTTCCTGGTGCCAAACGCTCAGCTTTAGTTGGCAAACCGTAGGAATTTAGCAACCTTCTTCGTCACATTAGTTCCTCTGTAGTTGTCGGAAAACAAGTACTTAAGTAAGTCTGATTGTCATATTCAGTATAATGTAGTTGTTTGTCTCAGAGTAATGCCTGACCGTTGTTTGACGCTGTGTGCCACTTTTTTCTTCCGTGATGACTTTTCATTTCAAATTAAAGTAGAACGTCTGTAATTATTATTGAATGCCAAATTACTGTAGACTTTGCCGACTTAGGGCTTGCTGAGGGCCCGTTAAACTTCTCTTTATCTTGTTCTCATCTTTTCAACTGAGTTCTTCATTTTAGTAACATTTTCTGTACTTCCTAGCTTTTGTCACTCATGTTCCAGATTTAGCTGAGGTAATCACACGAAAATCACCCTGACTAACCAATTTCGATGAAAGTTTGACACGAGACTGAGTTGATGAAACAGCTAATTTCAAGCCCGAATGAATGTACTAACTGGTTCATTACCCTTTTTAATTTCATGGAATACTGATAAACTTATCGACACTCAAAACTTCTTAGTGTTTGAACTAAACGCGATATTTGTTCCATACCAGTAGAGATTCCCTATGGCAGTATTTATAAATAGAATAGTTGCAAAAAAGTATACAGTACTACTGAAAGCTTCCTAACTGAATTCACACATTCATGTGAAGGTTTATGAAAGTTATCGTTTAGTATGAAGGTTACCAGTGGTGTCTGCCTGAGATATCCACTTTGTCATTCTATTATAGTTGTGTCGTTAATGAGCTAGTGAAAATAACTTTTACCCTTGATTACTCGTTTCCTTGAGGCTTTTGATCGGTCTAGAGTATACGGACGACATATTTCTATCTGATAATGTCTGGGAAAATGCAGGGTTCGGTGGAAAACTACAGCGATAACCTTAGTAAGTTTGTAACATGGTTTCTACGCGTCAAATGTGAGTAAAGTGATTAAAGCAGCCACTCACTTCAGTCTCAGTGTTTGCAGCTGATGAGCGCCAGTTTGGTTGCAAAAGATTCATTCTTGATATACCTGTAATAACCATCTGTTGCACTGACAAAATATTCTACTGTTCATCAAAAGGCTAGCATCCTTTTCTGCAGTCCATTCTTTACTAAGTTATGACCGTGCAACATAATTATTAGGGGTGGATATCGCAAGATATTTGCTGGCACATTGCACAGTAGTTTTTTTCGGAGCATCGCTAGTGTGTGACAGTGCAACTCATCGAGTAATATTAAGGTTATATACATAGTGTTTGTCAAGGGAAGATTTTAAAGCTACATCAGGAAAATACCGAACCAATGCTTTTCATGACGCATGGTGTCCACTGCAACAAAAGTGAAGGCATATGAAGTCACTGAGTGTAAATTTGAATTATAAAAGAGCAAGCTACGTAACTGAGATTTTAAGAATCAATGGTCGAAAAACATGTATGACTTGACTGAAAATCTACCTAGATGACGCATATGTATGCATACTTTATCATCCTCCTATTATTGTGCTATTAATTTTCTTTGTTTATAACACTCCATCACTTCTTATTCTTACTTTTCCGTGTTGCGATGAGTTATCGCAAACGGGGTCACGTAATTGTGTGCAGGATGCTATCAGTTCAGTCATGAATATTTATTACAAATAAATTTAAAATGAATGTTCACACTCAATGATGAAGTTTTTGGGTATAAATATTCATTTTATTTTTGGTAAACTGGTTCACTCCACAATACACAAGCTCTTCATGAAATTTCAACGTAAACTTAGTTCAAACGTGTCTTATTAGAATATCGTTACTCACCATCATATTCCCTTAAATTAATGAGTAACACTGGTTATATATATATATATATATATATATATATATATATATATATATATATATATATATATATATATATATATATATATATATATATATAGTTCTGGATACAGAAACGTAGATCAGAAGTTAACGCTTAATTGTCCATCTCGTTTTTTACCGCCCTCCCTTAGATTATAATATGGTGAGATGATATTTAGGAATTCTCATGCATATATCACCAGAACCTAAAGGGTCATAGCTGATATCCAGAATAGCTCAGCTTGACGGTGTCCAGCTACGGTACTAGACAATGTGAACCAGAACTCTCTCAAGAGGATGATATTCACCGAATTTCAGTGTTTTTCTTTTGTCAGTTCTGTTGAAAATGATACCCATGTCAGTCAGCTGTTTTAACCATTCAACTCTAAATATATCTATTCTTATGGGTGAGCAACGTGATTGTATGAATCAAGGGATAAATTTTGGTCAAT